TCGGTCGAACGATGCTGCTCCTCGTCGCTGTCCATGCGGGCGGCCGAGGAGCAGCGCGCAACCGCGAGCGGGCGCGAGGGCACGGGATGGCCCCGAGCATTGGGCCAGATCGGCTGCGTGCGCGCGGCGCGCCTGGTTCGCTTCCTCCCGCCCGCAGTCCCGCCCAGGTGGCTCGTGGGATCCTCCTCCTCCTGCTCCTCCTCCTCCTCCTCCTCCTCCTCCTCCTCCTCCTCCTCCTCCTCCTCCTCCTCCTCCTCCTCCTCCTCCTCCTCCTCACACACTTCCTCCGCCTACCCTGTCACGTTGTCCTTTAGCTCCTTCCTGTGATCACACATCCCGTCGCCATCGACGGCCAAAACCTTCAGGGTCGGCGGCACCGGCCGTAAGGCCTTCACAATACCCTGGGGTTCGGAATCCCACATCAGTTCTTCCGGAACACATATCCCTCTTTCTCCATCGCAGCGCGCCCCCGACAAGATCAGTGAATGCTCCCAGGGGGATCTGAGGTGGCCCGGGGGGGACGAGAAGAATGCGGGGGGAGGGGGAGAAAGGGAAAGAGCGAGGGAGAATACAAAAAACAAACAACAACAAAACACGAGTTGGACAAGCGTCCACATCTCTAAGGTGCACGCCTTCAGCTGACCCAGCTCGCTGGCTGGAGCTGAGGAGGCGCGTCGTAGCAACATGTGTATGTATATCCGTATCAGACCGAAAGGGCCCATTGGTCATTCACTGTCCCTGGGCGCGTGGCTGAGGAGGGGCTCCGCGGTGCGGATTATTGTTGCGTCTCCTCTGGAATTATCGTTGCCCTCCGGGACACTGCAATTGACTTTCTGCCCCATCGTTATTTCTTTAAAGGAGTTCATACAATCCCACCCATATCCCTTATCAACACAACCCCTCACCCCGGTCAAATGATATTATGCGCGCGCACTTGTTTATATAACGCATATCACCAGTTGCCAATAATCCCTAGCAGCAAATGAAACCAAGACCACGCGCGCGGCGTCCCGCGCGCATGCCACAATTCTTCAACGACGTTCGGTTTTGTCCGGGTTTCAAGACCGAGGTACCCGAGAACATGCGACATTGGTTTCCGTCGTGGTTTTTCCATAAATTCAGCGCGCGCGCTCCTGCGAATTATTACGGAAACATCAAGTCTTCAACATGCTCATCGAATATAACCAAGCGGGCCTCTCGCGTGCGAAAGTCGCAATCATTCGGGCGCCCTTGCGCGCGTGCTGGGGGGCATGATCCCTGTCAAATAATACCATGCGGGCCACTCGCGCGCGTCGGCCGCGCGCGCATGTCGAAGTCCTTCCAAAACCTTCATCACCGACACGTGGACACCATCACCGTCATCGGCCTGACCAGCATCGGCGCCGTCAATGGCCTTGCCGTCGCTATCGTCACTACCGCAACCCTCGCCGCTACCATCATCATCGCGTCTGCCTTTTTTACCGACGTCGCCATGATACTGCGCCCGCCCAAGTCACCGACTCGCACTGACGTGTTCGCTGGAACTGCCCAACGGTCAACGCCACCGCGGCCGCGTCGGTTGCGCCAAACCGGCTGGCCGCTGTGCGCGCGAGCGTGCGCGGGCTAGCGCGGCCGCAGAGATGCACCAGCCGACAGCAAGCATTCATTGCAGTCGCCGCCGCACGGGTTTTGCAAACCAACTTGCGGGTGGTTGGGTGGGATGATTTCGCGAGAACTGGAGTTGGCAACTTGAAGCTTTTCAAACGTAAGCATCCTTTCCAAAAGAAGATTCGGATCTCCCCCACCCGGAATGAACGGGACCCCTTGTGAGTATTGCAAGTTACATACGCTCTCCCCATCGTCCATCCTAAATATGAACTCAAACCGTCCCAGCTAAACAAGTATCACCCCCCTCATCCCCAGCCAAAAACCATGCACACGCACTCGTTGACCAAACATCCCCCGTGTACAAGAATCCCTTGCAACATATGGGACGAAGTGCACACGCGCGCGCGTCGTCGCGCGCGCATGCCCAAATCCTTCCAATACCATAGGTTCCGTAAGGATTTGGAAATCGAGTGCCCCGAAAACAGAATAAAATAATCTGGTTTGGCAACACGCATGTTTCAAACAATTGTGCGCTCGCGCTCTTGCGAACTCTTGAGGAAACCATCGGCTGTTCAACCTGTCCATAGCAAGTTACCAAACGGGCCTCTAGCGCGCATGTCGAAATCGCTCGAACACCCTTGCGCGCGTGCTGTTGCAAGGCTCCCCTGCAACCAATCGGACGAAGCGCGCACGCGCGCGTCGTCGCGCGCGCACCCCAGATACCATCAAAAACCTTGGATTGCATGCGCATGTCAAAATCTAGCGTGCCGAAAACATGTAAAACACACATTCGGTTTGGCAACATCAGTTTTCGAAAAAGCCTGCGCTCACGCCCTTGCGAATTCTTACGAATATCATGAGCTCTTCAACATGTGTTTTCTTATTCGGCCGAACGGGCCTCTCGCGCCGACTGCCGAGATCATTCGAACGCCCTTGCGCGCGTGCTGGGGGAGGGGCACGATCCGTGCCAAATCATACCATGCGGGCCACTCGCGCGCGTCGGCCGCTCGCGCATGTCGAAATCCTTCCAAAACCTTCATCACCGACGCGAGGACGCCGTCATCGTCGTCGGCGTGATCAGCATCGGCGCCGTCATTGGCCTTGTCATCGTCGTTGTCACCATCGCCACCAGCATCGCTACTATCATCATCGCGTCTGCCGTTGTCGACGTTGCCATGATACCGCGCCCGCCTAAGTCGCCGACTCGCGCTGAAGTGCCCGCGGCGATGTGCCCAGCGGTCAGCGCCACCGCGGCCGCGCCAAACTAGCTGGCCGCTGCGCGCGCGTACATGCGCGGGCTGGCGCGGCCGCAGAGGTGCACCAGCCAACACCAAACACTCATCGCCATCGCCGCCGCTTGGGTTTCGCAAACCAAGTGGCGGGTGGGTGGAATGATTGCGCGAGCAATGGAGTTGACAACTTCAATTTGAGAATTGATGAAGTGAGCCACCTAGTTTGCACCACATAGCTTACACGACAAACATGGCACCACACGGCTTATACCACATAGGTTGCTCAACATCGATTGCACCACCTGGCTTGCACCATATCTACTACACCAACTAGTCTGCTAGAACACACTATCTGGGGTCCACGCTGGCTAACATATACATCTACATAGCTGTATGTGTGTGTATTACGTGCACGCATTACATACCATAAGTGTATAGTTCAATATGTTTATATGTGTATGTATATAACCATGCATGCACGCATGCATGCATGTATGTGTATGTGTATGTACGTAGGTCGGTAGGTCCATCGGTAGGTAGGTAGGTAGGTAGGTAGGTAGATGGGTAGGTAGGTAGATCGGTATGTACGTATGCATGTATGCATACATGCATGCATATGTGTAAATCTGCATGTGTAGATTTATGTATGCGTGTGTGTGTATATATATATATGTATATGTGTGTGTGTGAGTGTGCCGCCGTGCCTCTGGGCACGGAGTGGGCGTGTCCTCAGGTCCTTTGCCTAGTCCCTAGCGCCTCAATCCTCAATCCTGAGGAGTCTTTAGGGGCCCGGACCCTAATTTCCGAAATCTCCTGGGGCTTCCCGCGCACCCTTTGGGCTCCAGCGCCTCTCCCCTGGGCTCCAGCGCGTCTTCCCGCGTGACTTTCTTGGGCCCGGAAATGCCCCAAAATGGGCCCAGGGGGCCCCAAGAGGCCCGAAGACGGAAAGGGCCCCGCGTCGCCGAATGATTGCTCCAAGACGCTCAAGATGGCCCCCAGACGACCCAAGAGGCCTCCAAGACGCCCGAAGAGACCTCCAAGAGGCCGCCCAAGAGGGCCCCAAGACGCCTAAATCAGTGATTCTTCCGTCGGTTTTTGAAAGTTTGTTTGGCTTTCTCGCCTTTTTCGGCCCTGGAGGACGCCACCCCAAGAGGCCTCCAAGAGGGCACCAAAACGGCCCAAGGGAGCCCCAAGAGGTCCCAAAAGGCGCCCAAGACGGCACAAGAGGGCCCCAAGATGGCCCCAAAACAGGCCCAGGAGAGGAAACACGGACCGTAAATCCGAGGCTTCCGCCCTAAGACGCCCCAGGAGGCCTTAAGAGGCGCCCAAGAGCCCCAAAGGCCCTCAAAAGGTCCTCAAGAGGCCTCAAGAAGCCCCCAAGAGGCCCCCAAAAGGCTCCCAAGAGGCCCCAAAGAGGCCCCCAAACAGCCCCCAAGAGGGCTCCAAACTGCCTCCAAGAGGCCCACGAGAGGCCTCCCAACCAACATCCAATAGGCTCCATACCCACAACCCAGGCATTGTGGCGGGATGGGCACAAGGCCGATATATACATATATGTATATTCATACGTATATGTATATGTTTATGTATATGTATATGTGTATGTATGTGTATGTGTATGTGTATGTGTATGTGTATGTGCATGTGTGTGTGTGTGTGAATGTGTATGTGTATGTGTATGTGTGCATGTATGTATATATATCTATATATATGTGTGTATATGTATATGTATCGGTATATGTACATATGTAATATTATATATATATATATATATATGTATGTATGTATGTATGTATGTATGTATGTATGTATGTATGTATGTGTGTATGTACGTACGCATGTATGTATATGTGTGTGTATGTATGCATGCATGTATAAATACACACACGCACACACTTATGTATATATATATGTATATGTAGATGTGTGCGCATGGCTTCTAGGTCTATATGTATATATGAATACATAGAGAGAGAGACAGAGAAAAAAAGGAGAAAGAGAGAGAGAGAGAGGGAGAAGAGACAGAAAGAGAGAGAGAGAGAGAGCGAGAGCGAAAGAGAGAGAGAGAGAGAGAGAGAGAGCGCGCGCGCAACACACACCTTAGAGGAGGAGATGCCTCCACCCGGGGAGAAAGGAACGGATAATGCAGGGGGTGTCGGCGGTAGGGTAGGCCGGGCAGGCCTGGTACAGCTCGTCCCGAAACATGGCCGCCCGCTGGTGGTCCGCATGGGCGACCGACCCGAGGATGGCCGAGGAGTCGTCTCGCCAGCGGACGATGATGTCGATGGTTCCCACCTGCCAGGAGGAGGGTGAGGGGAAGGGAAGGAGGAGAACGAGGGGGAACTGGATGAGGGGAAGAGGAACACGGAAGGGAGGTACGCGAGGAGGGAGGATGATGACGATGATAATACGGAGGGAGAAAGAGGGAGAAGGAGAAGGATGAGGAGGAGGAAGATCCGCTCCAGCCAACCCAGGAGTCGATGGTAGCTGCCCTAGGTGGCGACCGATGGGGAGATGAAAGGATGAAAATGAAAAAGAGAATGATGATGAGAAAAAGGAGGAGGTGGTGTCACTAGTCAAGCGGCGCGGCGGACGATGATGTCGATGGTGGCCACCCCCCCGCCTAGGGAGAGGAGAGGGGGGGGCGAGGAGTCGAGGAGGAGCGATGGGCGGAGGAGTGCGCGGGAGTGGATGGAGGGAGCGGGAGAAGGGGAGGTAGAGGGATGGGTGAAGAAACGAGTCTGTCACTCAACCCATCTTTGCCTTTCGCCCTTGTTTTCCCTCGCCCGCTCGCTTTCCTCACCCCTTCCCTTTCATCACCTCTCCCCTCCCGCTCGCCCCTCCCAGTCGGTCCCTCCCCCCCTCCCTGTGCCCTTCCCGCGCATATTCCACTTGTTGTCCTTTCCTCGCTCATTCCCTTCCCTTACGGTCCCTTCTCATCCCTTCCTGATAGGACTGGAACGAGGAAGGACGGTCGGGAACTGTTCGACGCGCTGCGCCGCGCGATCGGATTGCGCATCGCTCCGCTTTGCGAGGCGGCAGGCTTCGAAAGGCGTTGGACGATGACGCTTGGGGACCAGGACGTGGTCAGCGCGTCGCGCCGAAACGTGGTGGGCCACAACCTGCGGAGCGACGTGTTGAGCAAACGTTCCCGACCGCATGCTGCTTTTATTTTCCCTACCGCGACAACTAACAACGGAAAAGTTGCATGCTTGAAGTGATTCACAAGTTGGCGGACTACCATGGATGCGAAGATTGTGGCGCCAGCGTAAACCCTGCCGATCTCTGCTCTGTCTATTGAAAGTGGGTCGTCCAATTTCCTTCCTGCACCGCGCTGACTGAGGCGCTCGTGGCGCGCAGCTTCTCAAACGTCCAGCACGAAGCGCAGCGAACAAAAAGCGGCCGGCGCACAGTGCGCGGTTCCCCCCGGGGCCGAAGGCGACCCGAGGAGGAGGAGGAGGAGGAGGAGGAGGAGGAGGAGGAGGAGGAGGAGGAGGAGGAGGAGGAGGAGGCGCACCCCTTCCGAGTCCCAGCTCCCTACCGCGACGCCAAGGCCGTGACCTGGCGACACCGCCGAGCGCTGGCTCGACGGCGAGCAAGGATGGCCGCGCGGGCGGCCGGCGCGGAGGAACGACAGCAGCGGAGGCAACAACAGGCATAGTGAATACAGTCTAGAGCAACAGCATGGGAGGGTAAAGATTCCATGGTGCTGGCCTGCCGGTGGGAAGGGAGGAGCGTGGCTAACAAACTGGAATCCCCAGCTCACAGGTAGATGAAGGAGGAGGCCACGGAGACACTCAACCATGGTCGGAGACCTGACATCGTGATCCATTCTGTCGGCAGCTAGATTCGCACATCCAAAAGCACAGAGGCCAACTTGCTGACGATACTTCCTTGTCGTATTCCAAATAGTGCAGATCGTCTCAGAGCGGACGCGCGGATGAAAGGGGGCAGCTTTTTTCCCGACAGTGACGAGCCTAGTCGCACATAAATCTATGTCCCACCAGTAGCCTCAGGGTTCAACTTCAAGATCCTCGGAGCCAGAATCGAGCGAGTGGACGACCTAAGGATGAGGGGCTTCAAAATCTCGGTGAACTTTTTCTGGGTGACTTTACGGTTGCAAATATCAATGGGGCCAAACATTGTCTCATGAGTCTGCAGGGCCCTGAAAATCTGGAGAAAGACCGAGTCCTTATACGCCTGGGAATATTCATAGGCAAGCACATAGTCACCATCGTCAACTCACCGCCGCAATTCATCAGCTAGCCGTTGGAAGGAATCCGATTGAGCAGCAGAGCGAAGCATAGCGGCTTCAGCCATGACGACGCGCGAGCGGCACTCATTCTTCATCCCTACGGAGGTGGCCTGCAATAAGAGCTTTTTTTGGGGGGGGGAGGGGGGGGGTGCTGCGCCTGGGGGCCCGCGGGATCAATCGCTGTGCCTCTCGCTCTTGTGCAAGCGCCTCCTTCGAGATTTCGTGAAATTGGCGCACGCGCGAGCAGACGGAGCTCGCAAACATATTGCAGCCAGAAATCGACGTCACAAGACCCGCTGCAAGAGCTTTGACTTCGCCTCCACGAGTACGAACTTTTTGCCCAACACGCTTCCAGGCAATACCAGGGGCAGGGATCCCCACCTCCACCCCAATGTGTAATCCATTCAGCCCCATCTGCCACCCCGAGATATCTAAACCAGCCGCCAATATCTCCTGCACCATGCGCTGAAAGTTGAACGGCCTGGGAATGACATTCTTGCGCTTCGGAAAATTGAACGCGACCCCCGAGCAGGGCGCAGCCGCCATTAACAGTGACGCTACTTGCGGCAGGACACGAGGAATATTGGCAGCAGCGACGGCCGGGTGGTCAGCAAACGCTGTCGGAGATACTGGTAAGGTTGCACTGAGATACACAATGGCACGAAGTATGGGATCGAAAGCAAACGCGACAAGAAGGCCACTCCCCTTGTTTAACCCCGCGGAGGGCCCATAAGCCACCGACGTCGCATCCACGAATGCAATTAATACGCCACACACGTTCGTATAATGCCCTGATGCACTTAGCGAAGAAAGGGGGGACGTTCCAGCGCTGCAAAACCATGGAGAGCTAGAGGTGGGACGCAGACGGAAACGCGCCCTTCATGTCAAAGAGTGCGCCGCCAGCCGTTCGCGAATTATCTCAGGCCAGCCGCGTCGCCATCCTCCCTTCAAAGTCAATGCTATTGTCTGCGAATGACCTCCTTCCAATAAATCCACGCTGTGCATCGTCGTCGAGTTTGTCCGTAGCAACCTGCGTCAGCGGGTAGGAGATAAGCATGGCTGTGATCTTGTTGCCAGCGCTGCCGAGGGCAAGCGGGCGGGCGTCGCAACGTGCCCTGGCAGCTGCACCAAGGGCGCGCGCCCCTTCAGGGAGGAAGGCGAGCTTGGAGAGGTTAAACTCTGGCGAGAGCAGCTGGCCATCCGTAAAGGGCAAGTAATGGGGCCACAACGCCTGCTTAATCAGCGGGAGCGGGCACTGCCATGCACTGCGCGGTGCGCCGTCAGGTCCTGGACTCAAATCAACCTTGGACATAAGAACATATTCAAGCTGGTCCTCAGAGACAGTCCACGGGGCCCCCTGGTGGGTGGAGTTGGCAAACTGGCGCGGATCGTTTTTTTTTTTTTTGGGGGGGGGCGGGGGGGGGGTCCAGGAACCTGGAGGCCGCGGAGAGGCGGGGTTCGCCACTGGAGAATATCTGGCCCCATATGTCTTAAAGCTTTTGACCCATGGCGGCGTCCTCGGATATCCAATTCCCCCGGTCGCCCAGGATGACAGAGAAACGTTCCTTAGGGCGGTTGGCCGCGCAAAATCCTTGAGAGACGCTTCCCCTTGCGGTTGCCAGACAGCTTGCGGGCAGCAGCGCCGCGCTCTGCAGCGGCAGGTACTCGACTAGAAAGCTCACCTACATGCGCGCAGGCCGGGGCGATCGGACCACTCATTCCGCTGAATGCAAACATATTTACCGAGTGCAGGATATGCACGAATAGCAGTGCGAACTGTGGATAGAGGATGCTTGAGTAGAGGCAGGAGTCGGAACATGCGTGGGCAGGTAGAGCACGCGCAGCAAGAATAACTTTAATAGAGCATGCAAGTTTCTAATCGTCAGCGTCCGCCCTCCACTGAGGATATCGAATTTGACCTGGGCAACAGCGCGATGCATGACATGTTTGATGCCGAGCAGTCTTTAGTTGGGGTCCTCCGAGAGGTCAGCAGGATGAAGCATGCCGTCCATATGGGCATGAAACCGCGGGCGCCGAGCTATCCAAGGTGGAATTGACGGACGACGCCTCTTAGGATCAGGAGGCTGGAGACGAAGACAGAGAGGGGCATGATCGGAGGGCTTCTCGAGATCCGCTGGGGGCCACGCGGTGCTACTTTCGGGCGCCAAATTTAGCATATCTACGGTCGGCATGTCAGTGTAAATGCGATCGATGCGCGCCAAGGAAAAAACCTCGTCCGCCTTCGCGCGCCGACGAGTGCGGCAAACCGATGCGATCTCGAGTAGACAGGGGAAGCACCGCCGAAACTCGATGGCGAAACGAGACGGGGCATATCTCTCGGCATCGTCCAGCGCCAAATAGCGACCATCACCAGCTTCTAAGAAGTTAAAATCGCCGAGGAGAAAAATAATCGCGGTCTCCGCCGACCACATCGCACGCTTCACTCGTCGGAATAAGGCAGTGAGTTCAGGGCGAGAGAGACCAGGAACAAAGTGAATGTTCATGACTGGGAGTGCAGCACGCGGCCCGTGCAATCCGAGAGGCGCGATTCCCCCCTTCGCTATCTCCCAGAAGGCTACACCCTCGAACTGGTTGAGCAGAGATCGCCGAATACTGGTGGCGCCTCCGCCTGCGCCGGGGGGGCGTCGCAGGAGCTGCTGCCGAAGTGGGGGTGGCTTTGAAAATCTCTCTCGAATGCGTAAATGTCTCCGCTCGTGCCGCGCGTCTCCGGCGCGCATGCCGCGTCGCGCGCGCGCGCGCGCCGAACCCCCCCCCCCCCCCCCCCGCCCCCGCATTGATGCGCGCGCTGCTGTGCATCATGACTTCCCCGCAGAAACCCAAGCGCAGCATGCGCATCCCATGTCGCAATCGAAAGTTTCCGCGCGGGGACCAATGGGGGGCAGCCACCGCCACCTTCAGAGAGCACGAACGCACTGGCCCCGGAGTGGGCGTCGGAGCTGGAGTCGGAGGAGGAAGAAAAAGAGGACGAGGCGAGACTGCGCACAGGCACAGCACCAAGATAATTATACAACGCCTTCAT